GGAGGGGAGGGGGGAGGGGAGGGTGAGGCAATGCAAACATCTCTGCATTGGACAGCAAACTCAGTTTCTCTGTTGTAGGGATTACTGGAATCATTAAAATGTTGCCATAAGAACAAACAATTCTACTTGTATCAAATGTTGGATAGCACTGAAATCAAGTAAAAATTATGATGTGTGTTAATGGAAATAAAAATGATAGAAAATTATAGGGTTATTGAAAGAAAGAAGTCCTCAGTCTGATTTGGTAAAACAGAGGGCAGTAAATCAGACTGGAGGGATTTCACTGCAGTGATCAGCATTAAGCTGTCGTGGAGAACTTTTGATGGCAGTAGGGATTTCTGGAATCTAGAGAGGATGCACATCAGATTAGGAAACATGATGGTATAGCAGAGAGCTGGGGAGAAATGTGGCAAGGCTCAGAACTGCCATGGGGCAAGAAGACCTATGGACCCACCTCTGCATCATGGACCATATTCCTCCTTTCTGGGAAAACTAACTGTGAATTCCATGCCACAGTCACAGCATCATCCATCAGACGCCAAAGAAAAACACAGCTGAAACATATAACCATAAAATAAAATCAAATAACAATTCTAGAACTTAAAGAGTACTGACACTTAATACCTGTAACTGCATTCCAAATAATATACTCTGTGCAGTCAAACATTCATGGTACACTTGATCATAAAGAGCAGAGAAGCAGTGTCAAAAAAGATGAAGCATTCCAGTTTCTTTGTAAGCAAGCCTGGTGAAGGATGCTTGTCTGATAGCTATGTGAAGGATTTATTTATTTATCAAACAAATTTTCAGCAATGCACAGAGGTACACTGCTCTGGAAGCTCCACTCTTCCCTAGATGGTAGGAAGCAGAAGCTACAGATGCTGAAAGGACTACACAATACATATAAACATATGTGTAAACACATGTACACGTATACATATATACATGTAAAACCACCATTATCACATGGAGTTACTCTCAGCTCTGCTCACAAAAAGTAAAGCATAGAGCTACCTGACTTTCTCTTTATACATCATATACTTTGCCACTGGAGAACCACAGCCTTAGGAAGAATCACCAAAGTGCCCTCCTGGAGAAAAGTATCTATGGGGAGACATCACCAAGAAGCAGCTATCTTCCTAACAGGCATATTTCTTTTTATATTTTATAGGAGAAATATATTTTTAGCATTCTCAGTAGTACTGTCTCAAAGACAGGTTATATAAAGCGATACAACACACACACACACACACAGACACACACATAGAAGCACGCAAAAAATAAAATATGAATGACTCACTGCACTTATGCAAACTAAGTTGTGTAAGCCTGTTTTTCTCAACTCTTAAAAAACCCCAAAACAGCACATACACAACCCTACAAAATGAGCTGAAATGCTCAGTTATGAAAGCTAAAATTGTTGAATAAAAGCAGAACTCCCTCAGCTTCTCAGGGCCCTTCACACCCACATCTGGTATAGTGTTTACTAATGGATAAAAATAGAAAGTTGAAACTTAACAGACCCTAACATTTATCACAGTATTTAAGAATAAAAACAGAAAACATCTGAGAATTGGCATTCACTTCTCAGGCAAAAGAAACCTAAAGAGGGAAAGATTAACAGCTGTGCTTTGAAAGGGATCCAGTTAACTCTCACTGAAATACTACTCTCTAAGTATTTAGCAAGGACAAGCTAGAAAGAAAATAATCAACCGTACTTCTTCATTTCAACAGGTAGGTAATTTTAATGTAACCTGAAAAGAATTTAATATTTTTTAAAAATCTTGCAGCATTTCCTCTAAACCGTTATATTCAACCCATTGTTGGCAGATGACATCAAAGGACTTGATTTCTTTGGACATGTACAAAATGCATTTTTCTTGAAGAAGAGCAGGTTATTTTCTTATCTGCCAGAACCAGCAGATGACAGCATGAATGGTAGAGATGGGACATGAACACATGGGTCACTGTTCTGGGGTTCAAAAACCATTATCTGTCCATTTGAAAGGTATCCGTGATCAGCCCATAAAGCAATAGCTATTCAATTAAAGATCTGGAAAAGTTTGGCACACCAACTTTGAGAGCTGCCAAATCATGCTTTTGAACAGATAGGCCACAACATTTAGATAAAATAAGCCCTGAATTAAGGAAAATATAGCATAAAATGAACCTTCTAACATATTTTCAGAAGTGTGACCCAAAATAATCTAAGAGAGCTTTTGCAAATAATCCTTTTAATTGCAATAGGAACATTATTTTGGTGAATTATTCAAATCTACTGCTGATGAGAAGACATCAGGCTAGAAAATTGTACGAGTCAGCTAACTAACTCACAGGGTTCTCTTCTTCTCTGTCTTCCATACACAGTACACAAATACATAGCACAAAGTAGAGCATGCCATTGATAAGCCATTGATTGGCCCCTATGAGCACCTGAATGTCATCAATCACAGAATGGCTTGGGTTGGAGGGACCTTAAAGAACATCTAGTTCCAACCCTCTGACATGAGCAGGGATGCCTCTTACTAGAGCACGTTCTTCAGAGTCTTGTCCAGCCTGGCTGTGAACACTTCAGGGATGCGGCAGCCACAGCTTCTCTGGACAGCCTGTTCTAGAGTCTCATCACCCTCACAGTAGAGAATTTCTTCCTAATATCTAATCTAAACCTACTTTCTTTCAGTTAAAGCCACTCCCCCTTATCCTGCTACTGTAGCTCCTGGAGAAGGATCCTTCTTTGGCTTTCCTGTAGGCCCCCTTCAGATACTGGAATGTTGCTGTGCGGTCTCCATGCAACTTTCTCTTCTCCATGGTGAGAACCTGTCTTCATAGGGAAGGTGCCATTATCAACTTTTTGGCCTCCCCCAGACTTGCTCCAGCAGCTCCAGTCCTTATCTTGGTGGCACCAGAACTGCACACAGTGTTCCAGGTGGGTCTCACTGGAGAAGAGTAGAGGGGAAGAATCACCTCCCTTGACCTGCTGTTCACACCTCTTTTGATACAGTCCAAGATGCAGCTGGTTTCATAAAACACCACCAAGTCAGTCTCCTCCAGGCTGCTCTCAATCACTTTGTTCAATCTGTAGCTGTGACTGGGACAGCCACAACCAGGCATTGGACCCTGCACTTTGCTTTGTTAAACTTCGGCAGGCCCAGCTCTCAAGCTTGTCCAGGTCCCCTGATGACATCCCTTCCCCACCACGTGACTGCATCACACAGCTCAGTCTCAAACTGGCAGACTTGCTGAGAGAGCACTCAACGCCAAGTCTGTCTGACTGCTCAGAGGCTGAAGCACTGCTCAGAGAAAGGGCAGGTGGCAGACCCGAGTGTACCAGTGTCCGTGCCAATGCCGAGCAGAGCTGTAGCACCAGCACAGGCAGACCAGGAGGACCCTGGATATGATGGGAGAGAATGCTGCACTGGTAAAGGACAGCAAAGAAGGGAACAGAGAAGGGAGACTGCAGGATGGCTCAGGAGGAACCTGAGGCAGGGCAACAAGAAATTTTAAAGGTGAGGCTGCTTTACAGAGGATATTGAGCAGGCACTAGAATAGGATATATTATATGTAGGAAGAAAACTCTTAGCACATCTTGTGTTAGAAGTTGCAGCTCTATCTCAGGATTCCAGCACCTCCATTCCAGCTCTGTGACTGCAGAAAAAGCCCCTGATGGCATCCTAGCCTCACAATAGAAAGAGGTGCTTGTTTTGTTTTACATGATACATGGGACACAAGTCCTGATTCTGTGCCCACTACTTGTTACTTATTCAACATGACAGACACATAGAAAACAGAACAGAGTATATTTAGAGGAAATAAAAGCCTAGGCTTTAAGGCCACAAGCCACAGCTCAATGGTTTTGTAAGATATCTTTAGAAAAATACCATTTTCTGTGCTGTGGTAAATTAAGAGTTTCTATTTGAAGAAAATATTGTTTTTTTGGACTACAGAGTTCGCAATAAAAAAAAATAATTTTGATCTTTGTCACAAGAGCAATCAAAGCAACCCTGATTTTCAGATTCTTATAGAAGGCCAGACTTCAGTTTTAAACTGTTGCCAGTACATCAGCTTTGATGTACAGGTTTCCAGCACACTGGTAACCCAAAAATCTGCCTGCATTACTGCTGCAGCCACAGAGACAGACAGCATTCAGGAACCAGTTCTGTCTGCTCTGGAAGAGAGCCTAAGACAGAATCAGCAGGTACCCTGCCTTCAAGTTAATCCCATTTAACACTGAGAAGGCGAAGAACAACTACATTCATGGACTCCACTAGCTTCTGGTGCTAGAGCAAATTCTCCTTCAAAACTGAAAACTAGACTAGGTTTGGTTTCAGGAAAGACTCCCAGGTATCACACAATGTCAGCTGCTGTACAACTCTGCCTTCTACTTTGGGTCACTGCAGGGTCAGGTTGAGCCAGGGGCAGTACACCATGCGGAGCAGCAGCAACACCAAGACAATGTTTTGCTAAAGATCTATCAGTAAAAACCTGAGGAACCATATTTCAATAAGAAAACCACTGCAAAATATTCCATTCTGGGGAACCAGACGGAGGCCAGTTTCTACTTTGTACTGCTGACTGCTTTAACATGCTTTAAGCAAGTTGTTACAAGTATCAGAAACTTCTAGCACTGCAACACAGTTTTGCATGGGTCATTTATGATACACTGGGCCACATAGATCAGGTCCAGAAATTACATAATCTTGTCAGCTACAACAAACAAACAAACAAAATCTTTCTATTAACATAACTTAAGTGCTTAATCACAGACAAATCCAGCTTGACTGACACTAACAATGCTATGGCTGAGAAAGACATATGGAAGAGCTGAAAGAAATAAGGTAACAAATCTAAGGACAGGTGACCTACCCTCAAATCTTAACTCTACTCATTTTCTCCAGTCAGAAGTCATATAAATTAACTTTCAGATCTCAAGATACTTTTTAATTCTGGGGAATAAAAAAAAGCAGAAGAAAGTTCCAGTCCTACCAAGTGGGGGGTTAACTTTATTTCCACAGTTTGTCAAGTCACATAAAGTCAAATCATGATTAAGTTTTTGCTTAATGCAAATTTTTCAGTGTTTGCATTTTCAAAGAAGGAAACATTCTGAATAACTAACACAAGCCAGAATATTGTGCATGTACAATTAATACTGTTTCAGTATATTTGGATTTCCATTCAACTGTTGTCTTTCAATAGTGTCATAAATAACCAAACCAGTTTATTTCCTGCATTCTGTCTTTCAAACAACATGATAAAGGACAAAGACAAAAATGCCCTGTCAGAGAGGGCAAAATTCAGTTTTACAAGAATCTATTTTACTAAATCTGCTAAATATATCAAGTTTGGTTTCACAACTTCCTCCTGACCAATGACAAGGAGTTCTGAATTCCGCTGGAGATGGAGAAGATTACATGCTGGTACTCCAAAGTGCTTACATTGATAAATTAACTTTATTTTTAGGAAGTACAGACTCTACTTTCAGAAAGTACCACCACCACTACACCCAGGTTCTATTTTTAGGGACAGGCAAGTAACAACAAATTCAAACCAGATAGTT